TTACACCCTGGCTCGAGCGAACAAGATCTTCTGGTCAACCGTAAATTGTGTGCTGCCAATTTGCATGATGGGATACCTATACATACGGATCGCTTTGCGCCTGCGTCATCGTGAACTTCTGCTGGATTCATCCATCGGGGCCATACAACAGTCCCGAAAAGGGTAACAAAATGCTACTCTCAGTGTCCCTTATCTTCACCTTGTGCTGGACGCCTCCTGCAGCACTTTGTCTCTTGGTTAAATTTGTTCCTGATGCGTATACAACAGTTTACTTTGTGTCTAATGTATGCGCTCTTCTTAACTCCTGCATCAACCCTCTTGTATATACCCTGCACAGTCAACAGTTTAGGAAGAATCTCGCCTCACTGATGCCCTGCTATAACAGAAAGAAAATTTCACTTTCGCACTGATCACCGAGGACATGAAATCTTGGGACTAATTAAAAATGAATTATGTAGTTAAAAGGTCTTGATATGGCGCAGTTCACTTCATTTCCAGTGGTAACACAACTTTTCAGCGGAACTGAGATTCCGTATTGTTTAAATTCACTACGTACTTTTGTTTAAAATTCTACTAGTATTCTAAGGCAAATACTGCGCCCTGGCTGGCTCACTAGCTATCAAGGAAATTCGGTATTATCAAATGAGTTGATAACCTAAATTGGTTTCTCCTAACGGTGGCCAATTAACTTTATCAATTCAGTCGACAATACCAACTTACCTTGCTATACTCTCCCACCGAGGCAGCACCACAGTTTCATTAGAAACTTCCCCCCCCTCTTATTCATTAGCGATCAGCTATTGATAAAAATCCTTAAGGGTTCCAGCACAAGTGCTGCAATCTGATTGGCTACGTTACGCGCTCTTCATTCCGTGATAGGTTGTGAGTGAAATAAGTGGTCTCATGTTGAGTGATTGTAAAACAAAACAAAACAAAAACACGTGCCTATCTTGTTTTGAACGACCAATAGATATGTTTTGATTTCTATGCGTGATAGTTGACTTGTGATTTCTTTCTGCATTCGATTAATCCCTCAAATTTCGCTTTTGTTGGGGGCAAAAAGTAGCAGATGTTAAAAATGGCATGTTGACAATGAAGCTACATATATATCGTAGTTAAATACGTCCCACGGCAGTGGCCGTACTATGACAATTACGTCAAAGTATATTGTCTCTGAAAAATGATGTCTGTGTCTCCATTGATGTACTAAAACAGACAGGCTAGTCTTCTTAACCCATGCAGCATCTAGTCTTACATTGTTGAAGAGATGATGTTGCAGTGTATTGAATTTATATTAGCGATGATAAGATTCAAAATTTCTCCTTTAAAAATTAGACCTCTGTTTATCTTTTTTTTTATAATCATGTACTATGTAATTGCATTTAACTTTGTACACAATATGGTAATTTTCCAAGTGGTTAGAAATATGTTTGTGCTTGTACTTGTGGTGTTCCTGTCGATCTTTGTAAACTACCTCTTTTGATCGAAGAATATTATTTAGAGAAGTGATTGATCCATCACGAAAACCATTTTGCATTATCACTTATCTATGTGTATGGAAGAAGACATCAAACCGATATCAGCCAAAATAACTTTGGCGGCAGAGTTATAAAATTACGCCGGAAAGCAAACTTTGTATCAATCAGCAAAAACTAAAATGGAGCGTTTCTTTGTTCCTTAGAATTGTCAAAGCCTAAAGGTAAGTTCAAAGCTATTGACGGTATGACCACTGTACTTTATCTGAAACATAACCAGCACATACTTGCCTGCGGCAGCTAGTATTTTTTGTTGTCACATATTAGCTATATCCGATCGAAGCAGAAACATTTAGTAATTCATATCCAACGAACGACTTCACTCACTGATTATTCAAACTGAAGCCAAAAAATTTTTTTTTTTATTTTTCGAATAAATTTCAAATTTAACGAAATCAGAAAAATTGCAATTGGGAACTCTCAAAATCCCACCCTCGGTACTGAGAAATTCGAAGGTTGGCTGTGTAATTTACAAGATCCGGCTTAATGTGTTCATCTCAATTGTAAAGGGAGATTAAAAAAAAAAACCCCTTTCATCTGGGCACTGTTTTAGCGATCTATGTTTGTCATGGCAATTTTTTTACCCAAACAAACTTCAAATTAAGGTAAAAGAGACGCAATGTTGGAGAGCAGATATCATAGTTCACATTCTGTTTTTTTCCATTTATTTACAACCGTTCTTCCCAACGAAGCTGTCTTTTTTTTTAAAAAAGTATGATCTCAGGAAGAAAGATTAATATCTTGTGGAAATTTTCATTTAAAGCCGCAAGCTTGTTCCTTTTTTGCTCTGACTTCTCTTTCTTCAAATCAGAGCGTTTTACAATTTACGATGGATTTGGTAAACTTGTGTAAATGGTTCGGAAACTAGTCCGATTTTCGCTTCCAAGATCAAACACATTTATCAACAATTGGGAAAAACGATTTCGTTATAATTTTGAAGGGTGCTTTTTATTTTCCGGAGGTGTTTTCCCAGTTATCTCTCTCCCAATGTCAAACTCATTCTTTCCCTTTTTTCGCCATCGTGCTTGATCAAATCTCATCGGTTAAACAAAAGAAGCTAAAAATTGCTCAGTGTAATTAAGCTTACCAAGGGCTCCCTTAATTGCAGACTCAAAGTTTGACTGTTTCTAAAATATGGGCGTTAAAACTTGGACAACAGAAACCATCATGTAACGATATGGAAACATTAGGGCTTTTCTTAATCTAATATTATTGATAAGATATCATGGACAGAAACCTTTGATGTTGAATAAGCCATTTCTGTCCTTACCACAGACACTTAAGTTGATCCTAAGTAGATAGATACATCAAGATGAACGTTTGCTGAAAAATTTAGCACTGTTCAATTTCGCTTTGTTGACATTCTTATCCTGAAATGGATTCGACAAAAAACGAATAATTTTTAAAAAATGTCATATTTACAGCAAGCTTATTTTTTACAGACGATTCAATAGCTTCTGTAAACCTCTTTGTCATTTCCTTTTCTTTGTTATTTTTGTGTTCTGCTTTTTTTTTGCACAACTACTCTAATAATCTGGTATTTCCGTCAGAAATTACCTGAAATGTCATTTTTGACAGGACGTGAATGAAACGGGCAAATACATTTATCATCACAGGATCGTCTGCTTTAGCAAAAATTAATAATAGTTTTGTTCTTCAATTTAAATTAACAGATACGCATCGGCTCTCCAAAGAAGAGTTTCGCTTTCATAATGATAACAGGGATCGCTTCTCTAGTTTACGCAGGTTTCCTGTCCATCATGATAATTTTTAACATAGCAGGGAACTCTTTTTGCTTGGTAATTTTGAAAAGGAAAGTAATGAAAACCTCGATCAACTGGCTTCTTTTCCATCTGGCGGTTGCTGATTTACTGGTCGCGGTATTATTCATTCATCCATGCATCCTGAGCCACTTCATTGAACTACCGGGCGGAGTTATTGGAAATGTACTGTGCAAGTTTTTTTCCAGTGGGTCCCTGGGTTGGATAGCGGCTACCACTTCGAGCTTTCTGTTGGTTGTCATAGCAACGGAACGGTATAGTGCCACCTTACACCCGTTGAAAAAGAAGCGAAGTGGTCGATCATCGTGGTGGGTGCCAGTTGCATGGGTTTCTGCAATTCTGTTGCTAATGCCCTCCATTGTTGTAACAAGCTACGATTCACAAAATCAGCAGTGCAAGCAACACTTTCCAGACAACACAACAGCTCGTGCATACAAAATTACTTGGTCAACCAGCAACTCCCTCCTCCCGATGTGTATCTTGGGATATCTTTACGCACGAATTATTTGGTGTCTACGCAACCGCACCCTCGTTCCATGCTCCTCTCAGAAAGCCACCACAGAGTCACGAAAGGTAACTAAGATGCTTATTTCAGTGTCGGCCATCTTTATCATGTGCTGGACGCCTCCTGCAGTGCTTTGCCTGCTTAGCCCCTTGATTCGTGGCGGTTATACCACAGTATACTATGTGTCCCAAGCAAGTGCACTTCTGAATTCTTGTCTCAATCCGCTTGTGTACACCCTACATAGTCAGCAGTTCAGGAAGAACCTCGTCTCGTTTATGCCATGCTGCAAAAGCAAGCTACTTGATTCTCGCTTAACAGGCAAAGCCACAAATTCTCCTGATATAAGATTATTAACTTATTAGACAGCTAGCTGGTTTGAACCCAGTTCCAACCGAATCTACACTAACAATTTCTCCTTAGTAGGTGGAGTTGTTAAGAAGAACGTGTTTGCTATATCTTAAAACTTGTTGAAGTAGAGTAACAGCTACAACAACAGCAATACTTTATAAAATCATGCTACACCGAGGAGCAAAAGGGTCGTTCAAGAGCGTAGCCAGGATTTTTCAAAGGGGGAGAGGGGGGTCACACTGTGTCAAACAGAGGTTACTCATTCGATTTCGTCACCTGAATATTGTTGGTTGTTGCTTAGAAAGGCTCACAAAGGGGGGGGGGGGGGGTTTAAGGGCACCACAGGATCCCCCCAGCTACGCCCTTGAAGTTAGAACCTATAGCTGCACTTAAAAAAAATCAAGGACAATGAGTGTAATAGAGCATGAAGACTAGAGTAGATGGAGTATGAATAGCTAAAATGTTAATCATTATATACTAACGTGTAAGGATAGTGAATCTGAATGCCCTCGCATCAATATTAGTTTACCAGATCAAAGAATCCACTAAAAGTTGTCTCATTTCTGGAGTTCATTGTTATTAAGTCACATAATTTTTCTGAAAAAAAATTCCTTTAACGCTAAGAGAAACACAAAATAATAGTTTAGTATAATAGTTTGGTAAGACGTTCAAACATAACATAAAAAGGTGAATGAGATACAAGGGAATGAGTTCTCTTCAATAAAGTCAGTATTTGATAGTGTTATCAAGTATACTTTCAGTTCAACTAAAAAATGAGATTTCCTCCGATACGCAGTATGTTGGGAAGTTTTAAAAAGGATATCCTTAAGGATCTGGGTCAATCTTCCTGTAATACTGCAGTTTTTATTTATATAGCGTTTATTCATACTTCTCGTCAAGAAAACTATGTAAAAAATAAGAATGTTCTTAACAGAATTTAAGCCTAAGTTATGTCCTTAGTTACTCTTATAGATTATGGCTAATTTCTCATTAAAAGAGGGTCTTTTCTTCAAAGAAAAACAAAGAAAGAGTGGCAGTGATGAACGTTATCTCCTTCTGCGTACTACTCCCCAGCCCTCGGCTCCTAATTTTTTTTGGCTCTGTTTCGCCCCATGACCTCGCGCTACTTAAACTTTGTTCACATCCAAACGGAAACCGAAAGGATAGTTAAGAAAGCACTTCCTGTCTTCATTTGATGCATGTGTTTATTGGTTGAAACACGAGGAATCTTAAGCAGTTAAAACAACAACGGTGAGGAAAAACTTCGCTTATCAAAGAGGTATATTTTTTACTAAAAATTTTTCAAATGGCTGGATGCTTTTACCGTTCCTAAGGAAGCCAGACCTTAGCTTCAGCATAACTTGTGTGAACAGCGTCGAGTTCCGAATGGAAACGAATATTACTGGCCTTTGAGGTTCCCGTTCTCGTACCACTCACATTTTGATGATTTCGCGTTTTCGTTTTACGGATCGGCCTGATTAGGGTCTACACAAAATTTGAGACTGCGTGAGCTAAGCTACTGTTCTGCTCACTAAATTTTGTCTTGCACTACCTTCTTATTACCGTTGTCGTCTTGTCTTAAGGGTTTGCGTTATCAGTTAAGATGGCCGTTTAAGGCAGTAGTCAAATTCTAATTGTTCCTTTCATTTGTCCTATTTCCTCGACCTCACGAAAACTAATCTCATCAATTATATTTTTCTCCGTACAATAATTATTTAGTTTGCTTCTTCCGCAATACAAATCTGTGGTTTCCAGGCCCTTCTTGGTAAGATTAACTGCCCAACATTCTACCTTCCTGTTTTTAAAGGAACCGGAAGTCAAATTTTTAAAACAATGGCAACGACAACTTAGTCGAATTCCGTTTTCAAATGAAGGGGCTCGAGTTCCTCGATACAGGAACACTAACGTTTAAAATTATAACAGGAGAAATCTCATATACGGTATTAAAATGTATTTGAGGTTCTCATGTTTCTTTGTTACAATCAGAGATTCCCGCTGGGTCGAGTACTGTCATAGGTTGAATTGCCGGATGGCACTGCTGAGGGGACTAAGTCGAATTTCCGGAGTGTACCGCTGACCAGTCGCGGTAAAGGTGAAATGTGAACTGCTCGCAAAGTTGGCAGTAAATCACAAATGTATGGGCGATTACTTTGCTGGAAAACGGAGATATCTCGCGCTTTAATTCACCATCACCTACAGAAACCCGAGGCCTTGATCTATGATTGAGGTGAGTTGAATGCTGTGTCGTTGCGTCGGGTTGTTCAACAACAATATGTTGTACTTACCGTAGCTGTAGCGTGTAGGGGGCAACCGACATGCGATGATATAACATTCCATATGCAGACAGCGGAATTAATAATTTGACCTTTCATGACCACAAGCTTTTCTGCGTCAAAATTGGTGATTGATCTTTGGTGTTTAGAAGCTTTCTGTGGTTGTATGCGTGCAAAGATTACCTCCTGAATGGAATAGAAAGCCGGCGTGTACTTCGCGTACTGATCGCGCGTGTGTGTCGCTTCACGAGAGATTCCAGGCGGCGTTTCAAATAATTTGCTTGCGGATTCTTTCAGACATGGAGGGCGATGGGGACTTGATGAAAATGCTAATGCGCGCTGACCCTCCTGACGAAAGTATTCAAGGGCCCATGGACGAGTCAGCGATGGTTCAATCTGGGGTAAGATTTTAATTTGTTGTTGATTTTACGGCACCAGTCATTTTGGCATGCTTGTCACACGCGCATGTCCGAGAGCGCGGAATGGTTTTAAACAGATGCAACCTTCACCTATGCTTTGTTTGTATGTGAATAGGGAGTTGTTACTTCCTCAAATAACGCAGTTTCCGCTTTTCGTTTTAACAATAGGCGCTTACTTGTCCTCACAAGTAATTTCATGTCCCCTTTTCAGTACTTTTTGCCGTATTTTAGTTTGTCGTGACACGATTTTTGAAATCGATAATGAATGGCAATGCTGTCAAAGGAAATTCAACAGGTTGTGGGGTAAATAATCTGGGCGAATATGTAATAGGATGCAACAAATATTTGTTCCGTTCTGGTAAACATTTCATGTCGGCTCGTTTGCTTCAAACCTCCATGTTTTGTACCATCTTTCAACTTTACAATTGTAAATACGCGACTAACAATTTCAGTCACATAGCCAAAGTATAAATTCTCCTTCCTGCTTCCTTATCCTTCTTCATTTCGTACAGTCGAGAATTTTATCAATTATACACAATCGCCTGCAATAAGTCTTTCATTTTATTGCCACTATAATTTGAGAATAGCATGATGTTTTAATTTAATTTTTTTTAAGGAGTGAAGTACAAATTATGAATTTACTTGTTGCTTTTAGAACAATTTTAGACCTTTGTACATGCATGAAATTCAATAGTATTTGAAGTATATATGTAAAAAAAAGAATAACATTTTTTAAAAACTGATTTTTGAGATTAAAATTTATTTATCATGCTCAAAAATTCCTCCCTGTAATCTCATTGCTATTGTGTCCTTTTCCCAAATGCATCAGTTCGTGGATGTCTTCTTCACAGACAGTTGAGGTCAATTGGTCGACATGTTATAACCAGTTACCTAAATAAAATTAGAACATTGTGTGATGACAAACAAACATACTCTTCCTGTTGTTTAAGTTATATTTTCACATTTTGTTTTATAAAAAATAAATTAAGGGGGAACTGAGCATTAGTGCAGCAAATACTTGAACAACAGTAAGATCCACTATTTATTTCTGTGAAGAGTCTGTTACCCTCATTTTGATTCATAAGCTTGTCATGAGTCAGTTTTGCAGACAGTTTTATCTAGCTATTAATGTCATTACAATGACAGACAGACTTCCTGTAATCTTTTTTGAAGGGTGAAAACAAAACTGCTTCCAGACAAAAAAGTTTTAGTTTCAAGTGATGGCTATGTGCTGTTGCCATTGCCTATGGTTGACTACAAACAGTTAAAAAATATTTAACTTGAGTAAAAATTACAGAGTTGAAGAAAAATTCATTAGGGGATTTTGCCTTCATCGTTCTATCCTAAGTCCGCGTACTGGTCATAACAACATAAAACCATTTCATTGAGCTTGGCAGGCACCCTTCTTATTTATTTCTCTACTAGGCAGTGTGCATATGTTTTAGAAAAACAATCATGATGCTGGTGGAACAGTTATTTTATTTTTTTTTATGATTAATATGCTTATAGATATCAAATTATCTATGTATAGAGTTAATGAAAATGCTGACAAACAGCTTACACCAGCCATGCTGTCTGCTTCAGATGTTATACGCAGTGATAACCTTGAGCCATGAAGGAACAATAGTTTTATCTGAAAATAGCTCTGTATAAAATTGAGGTTTCACATCCAGTCTAAACTTTAGTTCAAGGACTCTCTAAATTGGTAGAAAAATTGGTCTCAGGATGTCAGATATTTTTGAAGAACAAACATATCTACAACTATACTAATAATTTGCTAGTGTTTGAAGCACTGGTCAAGTGAATGATTATTGTCAATAGAATGTTCAGAGTCCAGTTGGTATAAACTGATCAGTCTGTTGTGCTGTGATGTTATTGGCTGTAAGACTATTCACTTGACTCCGATGATGACTTCTGCTCAGGTGTTTGAACTGTCAGTCGCCACTTCTGACAACAGTACTTCTCAGGATTACACTCAACCAGACAATCAGACTACACTATTACATGTTACCCCAGGGTTCAAACCATTTATTAAGGAGTTATTAACTTTTACTGTAATTGGTGCACCTGAGTTACACTTCATTTTCAATGAAAGACAGCACTAGAAAAAAAAAACGCTTCTTTGCTCAGTAGGGACAAAGCAACAGAATTAGTATGTGATGGTGGCAAACATGACTCAATTTCATTTGAAAAAAAATGTTTTTTGGTACATGTATGTGTGGGCAATGAATTATGATTGACTATGATCTGTTAATTTCCATGCAAAAGAAAATTATTGTACAACCTCAGAATCAATACATGCATGTAAAAATAGAAAGATGATAAGAATTGTTCATTTTTTTAGTTTAATTTAAATTTTATTGTTGTCCATTAACCCTTTAACTCTCATGTGTGACCAAGACAGAATTTCTCCTCACAATATTAATACAATATCAAGCAGACAAGTGATGAGAATAAAGAAATACATCAGTCAGGCGATTATTAGTCGGCCCAATACTAAATTCTCCAAATTAATACAAGAATTGTTTAACAGACAGTATGGAGAATTGCCAATGAGTTCTTTGTAGCGAACACTTTAACTCCCAAGATCTGATTGTTAATTCTTCCCTGTAGCTGCTACACATTTCCTTGTAAATTAGTTATGAGAACATGGTGCTAGATCAAGATAGCAGCTTCTACCCAATAAGTTTGAATATTATCATTACCTGTTTGCTGAAAAATGTATGGATATTGTAGGGAGACGTTTTATTTTAATCACTTCTGGGAGTTAAAGGGTTAATGCATGAAGCTTGTTCACAGCATTTTCTCCAAAGTAAAACGCGCCCACAATCATGTTCTTCCACCACAACATTTCGTATCGGTGAATGAATTCAAAGTTTGTTAGACATGAGAAGTGCTTTCCATGGCAAGAAGTATGTATGTCATTGTTATACTCTGTACACAAAAGAGCCTCCTTTTAAAAAATGCCAGCCTTTGTAAAGTTGTTTGTGCATAATCATTGTGCCACTGAGTTGTGTCAAGGAGAGATGGGATAAAATTTTAAGATTCAAAATAAAACACAGATTTCACTCATCTTTTTCTTAAATACACCAAATGATGAACTTTTCAGAGCAGTTTAATTTCAAACATTTGTCATGCTGCTACTGTACCCTTCTCTAACATGCCAAACTTGGAATTTCAGTTCATGATGCCATCAATCATTTCCCATTCAAAGCAGAGAGGAGAGAAATGTAT